CTGTAGCAGATTTTTTTGTTCATATTCTGGTAAAAGGAAACGTTTCTTCAGATGCTGCATCTGTTAGGACTATGCTCTGTCCCAGGAGCACAAATGAAATATTAGTTGCACTGCTAACACCCTGGCAGGCAATGAGTTGCATCGTGCCTTCACCCGAACGAAATACAGAGCACCGGACTTGGCTCCATTTCTGTGTTTGTTATGCTGGGGACTGTCTCGTCTAAATACTTACTTACTCTTCTTTTAGAGTCACTTAACAGGCTGCACCTCACTTGCAATCAGGGATTTTACTAAGTTTTTCTGCTGCTGCTGTTGGGGAAAAAACTGCTTCCAGATAGGGCAATTTATTATAAAACGCTAGTGACGAATCTCTCAGGAAAAATTCCTGGGAAATCTTGGGTGATTTCCAAGCGTCCTCTGTACACAAATTTATGACCGCATTGTGACGGGAGAGAAATCCTTTAAGTGAATGGGCAAAAATATCTGAAGGGTTCAGCTACCAAGTACTGCAAGAAAAACACATCCTTATGAGGAGAGAAATTTCGGAAACCTAAGCTCTTCTTTCTTATGCTGAAGTACAAAATGAGACTTTAAGAAAAGTTAGATTATTCATTTAGGAATTTAAGTAGAAAATATTACATTGAGAAATCTGGCCCTATGATTTTTGATTCAGTGCCAACAATTTGTACTGCAAGAGGTAGGAACCTGCAGTAGGCTACAAATCACAAATTAAAGCCAATAAAACTTTTCAACCAGAAGAATTAGTCAGTTTAAGGGAGTTAATCGTAAGGTGTTAATATGACCATTTGTTTAAATTTGTTCCTGGTTAGCTGCTTTAGGCAGAAAAATTTTTGATCCTGAAAGGTATGACTGGGTTTTTCCTCATTATTGATGGTGACTTAAAATTTTACATGATTTTTTATTATTATTTTTAATTTAGAGTTCCAGTGTTGCATATGTTTGATTATAACACGATGAATGTTAAGGTAGAACCTGGAGGTGCTCCTCATTGGCACGTACTGAATCCCATTTCACTGACTTGATGGTCCTGAAATGCATGTGGAAAGCAAGCAAAAATCTGAGATCTTCCTGCCGTTAGCACCCCACAAAAGCTTAAAAATAACACAACAGCAGCCAAAACAGAGAGCACAGTCAGAGCTACCACCTGTGCCTGCTGCGTCGTGTCCAGCACCCTAAGTCCTCTCCCCGAGGCTTGGGGCGCAGCGGCTGTCCTGCTGCATCAGCACAACAAATCCCTTAACCTCCGGGTGTCTAACACTCCCAAATCTTACAACAATGAGGATGGTCCCAACCCTCTCAGAAATAAAAGGTGTTTCCAAATCCAGCAGTGGACTCAAGAAAGGGCTGGAGAAAAATCACTATTGACAGTGCAACATGTGGAGCTTACCTCTCATGGCCACAGCATGGCTGTAACAGTAAATAGTTGCTGCTTTGCCAAAAATGAGGAAATTTTAATTCAGACCCACTAGTAGAAAGCCTAAAGAGGTGAGAAGTCTTTGGTGTTCCTTTTCATTACCTCAGACAAATTGGATTATTGAACTGAACTTCTTTCTCTCCCCGTTCCTCAACATGCCCCAGCACAAGCCCCTGGAGTATCCAGTGGCAATATTACTGATTTTGTTACCTCCTGCACTAACAAAAAACTCTGATAAAGATGTTGCAACCTGGGGCACTTGATGTGGAGTATGAAAACTGGACCAAAAGGAGATAGTATGGGAGAGGAGGAAAGTAAATTGAACCTGACACTTGCTGTTTTTCCAACACGAGCCCATGAGGAAGGGGATGCAGAGTTACCCAGCTCCCTACAGCAGGGAGTGCATCACACAATTCCCACATTGAGCACTTCATTTACTTCCTGTCAGCGATGACAAATAAATAGAAAAGCCTTCTGCTTATGGCCACGCAGATTACCCAAACGCTTCACCTGAACTGTCAGCGTTTCAGAGAAATGTGTTCTGTGCTAGCAGGTGAGCAGCTCTGCTACGGAGGGGCTGGGGAGCAGAGCATCCCCTGCACCACATACCCAATGCTTCGAAGGATGAATAGGAAATCCCTGACTCCATTATGGGAAGGGGCGGCCACAGGCATCAAGGGAATGGATGCTCCAGCACATGAGGATGAAAGATGGGACACTGAACTCATCTGCTCTGACCTTACCCATGGCAGAGGTTATTTTTTCCATCCGTAGACGCGTTTGACTGAACTATCATAATGTGGCAGGGGAAAGACAACTGCTCCTCAGCAACAGATGAATAACGTCTGCAGAAAACCATCTCCCTTTATATGCACAACACAGCCAAAGCCATATGGCACAGCTTTTCACAAAGCCTCAGTCCCTGGTGTAAGGAAGCCACACTCTCGTCCCAGCATACATGCAAATTACAACCTCTACCGTGACCACAGCATTTTGGGTGATTTACATAGAATGCTGTCAGGCTTTTGGGGAAGGGAAAAGGACTTCGTTTTTTGCCAGTGCAAACAACTGGCCAGACCGTGCTTCGGCTGTGCACTGATAAAGAGGAGAGCGAGGCAGGATCCAGCTCCCAAGACACCCATGAACTGGCTTCAGAGGTACAGATTTACATGCCAGTTGCATTAGCTGATAAAGAATATCATCCGCTCGCACTCACCAGGGACAACCTCCCTTCCCTCCACCATTCTCCCCTGGGCTGCAAAACCAGACTGCCCACAGGTCAGGGCTCATTCCAGAGCTGGGGCCAGCCCGCTGAGCCCAACTGCTGAGGAAGTGGCGATGTATTTTCAAATACTGCACTTTAAGAGAGAGATACCAGTAGGTTAAAAATACTTCTTAAAATCAAGGATGTGGAAATCCAAGCAAGCTTCTCCTTCTGTTGTGGACAGTGAAGTAGCAGCATGTATTAAAAAACAAACAAACAAAGCGGGGGAAAAAAAAAATCCCCCGCAAAATTTGCCAACTGGTTTACTGAGAGTAGAGCAGCAGGCGGCACACGGAAAGGGAGGCCACTTCTATAAAGCTTGAGATCATCTGTACAGAGCAGTGCACCGGAGCTCCTCTGCTCAGATGGGAAAAGTCATGGCTCAACGAAGTGCCACCAGAAGGAAAAAGCTCCTGGTTACGCAATTCCTATCAATTCACACATCTCTGGTGGTCATCGCCTGCACGCAAATGACATTTTGTCCTACTCGTTCAGAACTTGCTTGTTTTCTTTAAAATGCAAAGGCAGCTCGGCGGTATTTAAAGATAAAGCTATCTCCAAAAAACGCAGACTATTTAATTAAGTACCTAAATATAAATTTAGCAGGCCTAATTTATCTGTTCAGGTTCAAATACGTGGACTCTGATGCACCTACAATACATATGCTCAGATAGATGCGAGCGCCAATGAAAAACTTTTCAGGAGGTTGAAAGCTGGGACTCAGTCTGCTGCCTTCTCTGCTCCCTTCCCCTCTCCTCGTAATAGCACGTCAAATTGTTAATCAAGATTTCGTTCCTACAGCTAATGCGTTTCCCCTGTCGTAATTGCTGTCTAAAATCATGACTGCATCATAAACGATACTGCAATGCTTTGCATTATACATTTATGTTAAGTTATTATCAATACAGCTTATATACAGGGCATTAACTATGTAATATATATTTATTATTCCTCCGTACAGAAATTCTATTGATTTCTTTCCCATCAAGCGCACGCTACTTGACTGCAAACTGCCAGGTTTACAAAGGGATTAGACAAAGTCTTTTCCTACTCTACCTTAAAACCCCACTTTTCTTTTTGTATCCTGGCAGATATCTCACAGTTACAGTGGGAGCCACTCACCCCAGTAAATAACAGCAGGGAGAGATTAAAAAAAAAACAAAAATCTTGCATTTTGTCCACAAAAACATGGAGAACAAACACCCCCCAAGGCTCCAACATAAAATCCTGCCTAACCTTTGCAAGACTTAAGTGTGGGTCTCAATTTAAGCATATATTATAGCACTTCAGGTGACTTAAGCATGTCTTTTCATGTGGTTTAAGCATGGGTAAGTGCTTTTTTGCATCAAAGGCTCTGGCCAGGCAGATTCCACCAGACCCAAGTGCTGTCTTGAGGCAACGCCTGCACTTTTGTCCTGTCAGAGGCAGCTGTTGCTCCCACCTGAGCAGCAGCAGAGGTGAGTGTGTATCAGCCCCTGGGTACACCAGTTTGCTGGATTAGCCCCAAACTCCTCCAGAACTCCTCCAGTCCCAAAGACCCACTCAATCATCATATGGCAAAGGTTTTCATTTGCCACTTGACTTCTCAAACCCTTACACCTAGTAAGATGTTTTGGTTTCCAACCAATAGTAGTACTAATAATAAAAATAAGCAAAAAGAGAATGTATGCACTGAAAGCTGCCACAAAAATGGTATCTGTATGGTCAGGGGGAGGAAGCACTAGCCCATGAGAGTGGTTCAAGTGAGGTTTCCCTGCTGGAGCTGTCACCCGATGAGCAGCAAGTCCACCCCAGCCCCAGCATGAGGTAACGTGTTCACCCACGGGTTTGCTAAGCCTGGGTTTGGCCAGGTCACCCAGCAGCAAGCCCAGCCCCTCGTGCAGGACGTGTGTGTCCCCCAGGCTGCTGGCCTCATCCAACTGTGAGCAGCTCCAAGGGAAAGCTCCAAGACTCACTGTAAAAGGTCAATAACCTTGTACACACAAACACACACACACACACCATGCTGGAGAATTATTCTTGCCATCTTCCCCCAGTCAAGAACAGTAAAAAGACTGATTTCCAGACTTGTGTTGTGTTTTTAAGAACCAAAGGCTGGAAACCAACATCAGGAAGCACCACGACATCAGGAAGCATCACCAGCATCCGAGGAGCAGAGGGAGAAGCAAAACAACCAAGCCCGCCTTTCCCCTCCCCAGCCACCTGCTACCCCCTGAATGGAAAGGGAAGAGAGAAGAGTTGTCAGGTAACATCAACATCAGACGCCACGGGCAGTCATCAGATTTTCTTTCAGCTGCTTACCAGTGTGGCTCCTTTTATGTACCATTAGCACATTGGGCCCAATGCAAACCATGCCACAGACGTCACATTTCAGTTTACCATTCGGAAGCCGGATTCCTCCCTCGCTCGATAGCTCCTGGATCTTTCTGTTATCCGCCATCTCGTTATTCTCTGTGAGGGGCTCTTCCAGGCTGCTTCCTTCATCATGAGCCCTGACCTCATCTTCCTGACTCAGGGGCTTCCTGTCAGATTCCTCATCACTTTGCATTTCTAGCTTTACTGAATTTGCTGAAATAAAACAAAAATAAAAATAAAAAACATTAAAAATGTGTACTTTCTAAGTTCCCAATTAAGGTACGTTGCTACTATTACCAATACTGAAGCAGAGGCTGAAGGCTCAAAGCAACACGCAGGCCTTGCGGTGGTAACAGTTGCACACATTGTGACCGAATATTTCCTCAAGGAATTAAATTCCTGGTTTTCTACCCCTATTTTACAGCTTAGAGACTAAGACACAGAGTGATCCAGAGACCTACCAGAAGCTGCAGAGACATGACAGGCTTAAAAACTAACCTCCTGCTGCTCAACATGAAACACAGGAGCCCCCCTTCCCTTTGAGGGACGCAATCACATGGGTAGGACGGAGCCAGATGCCTCCTGCCCCGAGTTAGGGCAGCAAGCCCCAACCTTCCCAAAGCCACAGCTCACAGAAACGAGCACACTTTGCAGACAGGATTGTTCAAAACGCAGGGACCTGAGGGAGCAGGGCCGTGGCAGTAATCTCCACAGCACCCTGCCTGCACAGGCACGTCTCCTGACGGAGGGGAGAGCATCGCCACAGGAGCCCTGAGTGCTCTCCTGCCACCATCTTCTGATTCACCTAAATGGGATGCTGCCAAGGCAAACAGGTCTGAAGCGAGACGTACACTGCTGCCTTACGTATATCTGTGAAATTAAGTGCAAGTCAAGAGCTTTCTTGTCTGCCTGGTCAGGCCCATGGGCGCCCCGCTGATTTCTGTGACCCTCACGTCACAGGGCAAGTCTCCTACAACTAGCAAGAGCTCATGGGATCAGCAAGTCTTGGAGGAAAATCACGCTTTTTTTTTTTTAAGCAGGGGGCCTCAGTGCAGGGGCGTTTTAACCCCCCCACCCCCAGCCACCCACGTTTCAACATTTCCATGGTTGGTGGAAACTGCCGTAAGGCCTGCCCCACAGTCACACTCTCCACCCGCACCGCCAGCCAGAAGGCGAGCCCACGTGCCACTTTCCATAAGCCTTGATCCTGCTGAGGGGTTTAAAAAGGAGGTGATTCAGCCTTTGTACCTAAGCAGCCTCTGACCTCGGTGCTAAGGCCATTAGCCGATGGCAGCAGGGGATCTGAGGGCAGGCGCGTGGCCTGGGAGCGCCTGGTGTCCCCCAGAGCCCTGCTAGAAGTGCCCCAGAGCAGCACCCACCACATCTGAGAAATACACAGCAGAATTAGAAAGAAGTGTGTCTGATCACTGCGAGCCATCACACTTTCAAACAACTGGCCTGATAGTATCGGAAGAACTAACCCTACTGCTTCAAGCTGCTCCTTCATCCCTTCTCCTTCCTGCCCCCAAATTTATGGTTACAGAAAACACAAGGTTCAGAGACCGATGTTGCAATTCTAAACCATGGCTCTTACTACCAGACGGAGTGTAATGAAAGGGACGAAGGCACCAGAGACCAAACGACGTTAAGATGCTGCTTTTTAATCATAAAATTGTTGAAATGCATCTTCCACTACTCACTGAGGCGCTAATAGGAGCTCAGGAATGGAAGCACGACTGCAGCAGAGCCCAGCCCGAAGGAGGCCGCGGATCACAGCACAGGCCCCGTCATCACAGCACTTTGCAACTGCAAAGCTCTGGAGCAGGCCAAGGGGAGGCCGGGCACAATCTCCGCTGGTCTCCTGGCCAGGAGGCCGAGCAGAAGGGAGGACGCTGGCGGGGAGGCAGCCGAGGTCCTCACCCTGTCTCCCCGCACGAAGCACGTGTTGGTGATTTATGGACAGCCTGACTTTAGAGCTAAGGAATGGCAGTTCTCTCTAATAATAGCAGCCTTTTGGGGTATTCAGCAAATCGGAGAATGGAGCCTGAGTAAATGCTTCGCTGTCCTCAGGAGCAGGATTTAATACACTTGGCCACACAAGTAGCTACAGTAGGGCCAGGAGCAGCGCCGGCGCTGCTCACCCGAGATCCCGGCTTGCTTCTGCAGCACCGGGCATTCTCCTTGCACAGTAACGCACAAAATAGCCAAAATACTTCATACCAACTGTGTATATTTATACGTACCCTCAAGAGAGAGAAAGCATCATATCTTACGTGTCTTCTTGCATTACTTCCAGAGATTTTGAGCTCTGTTTCTGACATGGAATAACAATCACTTGCCTGCAGCCATGCCCAGCACCACTAGCTCCCATGCAAACCTGTGGACCTCTGGCCACTCAGCCCCTACGAAAGGGAGGCTGTAAGAGCTTATAAAACTGGCAGATCGCTTACTTTATCTTGCCCCAGCGTTTCCCGCTGCCGAATGCTGGCGGCCGTCCAGCAGGACAAGCAGCACAACAAAGCGGAGCGAGCCGTTTGCTGCAATACGACCTTCCAAAAACACGCAGCGCTCCCAAAATCCAGCAGACTGAGCTCAAAAAGCCCACGGAGCTTCTGAAGCGCCTCTCTTAATATCCCAGCTATTCTGCAAGGTTTTGCAGGCTGGTTACCGTCCTCCCTCCCCTCACCTTCGCCCGCACGCCGAGCACTGCCTCTGCCATTCTCAAAAGCCCTCTGTTAGCTTGTTGCTGCGCGAAGGTTTCCTTGGGCTGGGACTGCTCGCAAGTCTCCAAGGAGGGGATCGCTGGTGCAGCAGGATCTCCTCGGCTCTTTGTCAGGGCTTGGCTAATCAGGTCATCCCCGCCGCCTTGCATCACACTGGTGCACGGCTGTACACAAACGGGCGCCTAAACTGCGCACACTATTTTCTCTGTTCTCAGCCAGCCTTTGAAACTAGTCGTTTTTACAGAACTGCCTTTGTTTGCACCTCCAGCCGCAAACTTAGAGAGCGGAATGAACCCTGCTACAAAGGGAGAAGAAATATGTAAGCGATGTTTACGGCTACGATGCATCGCTCGCTATCTCCACGTCAAGCTTCACCCCGGGTTCCCTTGCCTTTCTTGCTCACCCACTTGCTAAAAGTGGCAGGCTTTCTCATTCCTTGGCAGAGCAAAGCATAAATAAGTAAATGGAAAAAATTTAAAAATTTTTTGGCACCTTTCCTAAAAATCACAGCAAATGAGATAGCAGGGATGAACTCTAATCCAGCTTGCTGCAGAAGCATGAACTTGCAGTCAAACCATTTCCCTCCAGCTAATGCAAGTGCCTCCCACTTTTCCCCTGTCCAAGGCAACATCTCACAGAAAACACACAGAAAGAGAGACGAGCAGTCTCAAAAGCTTCTACCTGTGGATAAGAGGCCAGTGGCACACGTTCAGCAAACCACACGGCAATATTTTTTTCCCTTTTTTTTCCTTTTTCTTGTTTCCTATCCCAGAGCAGCAAGCAGATCCTGAATCACACCTTACCCTGAGTGGCCAAATTGAAAACAATTATTGTTAATGTCTCCTAAATGCTAATTGAACTGCAATTCCCTGTTAAACTGCATTTTGGCAAGTTTTCAGTACCAAAATTATTTCCTTCACCCACAAATTAGCGTAGCTACACACCAGAAGCTAGAAGTTCCTCGTGTTTTGTCCTCTATCCTAGAAATTTGTTTCAGTCAAAAGTGAGATGTTTGCGGGGAAACCAAACCACCTCCCAGCTTTGCTGAGAGATGTGATGCCCAGATGGGCTGTAAAGGACAGCTCTGGTCACCTTGTCCTAAGCAAGCAAGGCAGAGGGCAATTCCTGCTTGGGAACAAAAATCCATCTGTCCAACACACCAGGGAGCACGCACGCAGCAGGACTGTGCCCCTCCGTCTCCTCCGCTGTCTGCTGTCCTAGGTCGTTGCTTATTTTGTCTGTGGGCTCGGAGAAGCAGGCTGGCCGCTGTCACCAAGGGACTGTGGTCTCCAGCTGGAGGTTAGCTTTCCTGGCAGTGGCAGCGCTGCCACCGGCCTCTTCCTGCTGCCCCCAGAGCAGCAGAAAAAGCAAGCCTGACCCTTGCCTCTTCCCCAGCTCCTCTCCTCTCACCAGCAGGAAACAAAGCGTTGGCCTGGCTTCAGATCCTCATCCTTGAGGAGGCAAAATTCGAATCTGCCACCCCCGAAGAGCCTTGGGGTGGCTCTGTGGGCGAAGGCAGCGAAGGACGGCTGTGGCTCAGGCGGACACGATGTGTTCTCTGCCCAGCCCCCTGGGACACAGGGGGCAGATGGTGCAGCAGCTCTTCCAGAGGCTGCTGCAGATTCCACAAAAAAATACGTTTGCAGCCAGGGTCTGCCCTTAGCCTTGATTTCAGTCCCTCTGGAAAATGGGACCAGGCTCCAGCAGCTAGAGGCAGGTACAGCACAACCTGCTGCACATCGCCTTGCCGGTGGCCAGCCAGCCTCGCTGCTCCATTCACAAACTTCTCCTACACAGTAATTAACCACACGGCTAATTGGCAGCTCAACACAAACAGAAAAGGACCCAACTTCTTCCTCTTTTCCAACCTGGGTACCTAGTCCCTAAACACGGCGACGCTCAGAAACACAGCCCCTCTTCCACACTACTAAAAGCACTTTTTTTTTTTTTTTGAAAATTCACGGTAAGGAATGCCAAAACCTGGAAACAATGAGCCCCGACTCTTACTCTAAGAGCACTCCAGTAGCAAAAAGGGTCCTTAAGGAGGGTGTTTACACCTCTCTAGGAGAGGAGTGAGACTTCAAGGCATGTTTCAACATATTTTCCTCCTGGAAGGGTACAAAGGAGTCTCAGGGAATAGAAAACTCCGTCGCTGAGATCCTTGCTGCTGGTACAATTTGGCTCTTAATTAATGAGGCTTTTCAAGTCAATTTTGCTCATATTGGGAGCTATTAAATGTATAAACAAGGGAGCACCGACACATCTACAGAAGTGAAGCTGTCTCTGGATGGAACAAATGAGGGTGAATGTCACCTGCAAAAGGAAGGGGAATTACCCGAGTCAAGTGACAAAAGCCTGAGCAGGGCCTCTTACGTTACACCTGGACATCCCCGATGCTGGGTGTCAAATTTGTTTGTCACGAGCTGCCAAAAGATCCAGCTTCTGGCCACTGAGCTACTGTGAATCCTAGCCGGTGACACCATGTTGTCA